GACCGACGTCTGCCTTCATTCTTGTTGCCTTCTCTGGACCTGAGCCTGGTCCAAAGGGTTTGGTTACATCAGATGAACCTCGGTTGTCGCTGACATGTCGTGGCTGTACGCTGGAAGCCACCTCTGCGCGTGGCTGACCTCTATCACACCGCCCCATAGCCGGGGCCCGTGGCATAAATTCCCGACATAAACGGTGTCGCTGTAGGCGAAGTCAGAGATCATCCAGGTAGTCCCAGATCGCACCAGCGGGATGCCTGGAGACGATCACTAGCTATATACCCCATCAAATGTCAAAGGTGGTGGGCTCCACGAGCTGTACAACTGGAGGGGGCCAGACCGGGTGCGCAAACAAGGCGCGACCTAGGCTGATGTGGAAATCAAATGTTGGTCTCAAGACCTTGCAAGGGCGATCGCTGTGAGTTTCTATGATGCAGCTGTATACACCAACACGAACGATCATCGCCATGTTCGTGAATTCTAGCATCCGTCATAAGTCCGGGCTTGTACTGAACTGGAGTTGCTGACTCACGGGTATCAGATATCTGTCTTGCCTCAGCAAGGGGGAACACTAGTCTACTCTGTATCAACCTCTGAACCTCTGAACTGATAAGGAAAAACAAACAGCATTTCAGCCTAAACAGGATCAAAACGACGGGGTGTAGCCGAACAACTGCACTCTATTACTGATCACTGTTCCCAGAATCACTGTCCCAAAACTGAACCCGATACCGCAGATAACTGATTCTCAACAATACTGACACTGGTACCCTTGGGCCCGATACTCAAACTGACAAACTGGTATGTACGTTCCTGCAGAGATACACTCTAAAACACATAGCAGATAAGTGAGAACCAAAACACCCCTATGCTGGGGTAGGGTTTCCCTGTCCTATTTTGTCAGGAGCTAGGGTTTCACTACGCACGCAGCAGTTTCAAACAACCTATAAACTAGGTAAGCAACCTGTCCTAACTTGGAATGGTCACTATGGATCCGAATATGCACTAGGTCGAATGGTCGAAAAGGGTGCCCCGGTTAAAACCGGGGTTTGTGCCCATGCTGTCAGAGCCCATAACCGGTTAGCTTATGGTCATGCCTTGACAAGACAAGCCTCCGGAAACCGTTCAGGAATGGCAGATGGCAAACACGGTGTCCTAGGCGCACCAATGCAACATGCAATGCAAAGAGACACATAACTGAAATCAAAACAGGATATCACGAGTTCGAGTCAAGCTCTCTAAATCCCCAGCAGAGTCGCCAGAAACTGTAACGCGTCCGCAGGGGGACCCTCGCTACAGTTCGGACTCGATTTGTGTCACGGTTCTTAATCTGAACCAAAGAGTCCAAATCCGACAAATCGTTTTTGAGAAACAGATTTTTTGAAAAGTAGTGCCAAACATGGATTGCTTTGCCAGATACAGAGTCACCACCTAAATATTTTAAAATGGGGGAATATTAGGAAACCCTGACTCGTGCCGAAGGCCACGCGTCCGTGTCATTACCAAAGTTGCCTCGGCTCGGGAGCTAGGGTACGATCGGGGTAGGTCAGCTATGAGCACCCCCTCTCGCCCGATCCGAAGATCGGCCTCTACTAACCGTGAGTATCTGTTTTTGAAAACGTTATGTGTTCTTATTCCACTTATTAGCCTAGAATTACTATGTTGTGCGCACAGCAAACAAGTATAGACTAGATCGCCTAATTTGGAAATAAGCATTGCATATCCGTTTGTCTTGAAAAAATACTTTGGAATTTGCTACTCGCAAGTAGGCTAAAACACGGATTTCAACGAGTTTTTCCAACTCAGACAATCCAACCTTCACCCACAGGCATTCAAATAGTTTATCACATAAGCATCTAGCCACATGGTAAACATGCTGTCATGATAGCATTCAAACGCATGCGATTTGCTAAAGCAGGAAAATACTTACATCGTACTCCGTGCCAAAACAAAGAACTCGTTAGCAATCAATGCATGATCCAAGTCCATGTCTAAATGTCTAATGCAACACATGCAGGATACATTTAGAGTAGGCTCGGCTAACCTAGACATGGCATATGAAATGCAATCAATTGATGCACGTATTCAATTTTGGAATTGAAATACAAATGCAGTTAGCATGATGTACCGAGCCCGGTGCATGCAAGACAAATGCATGGATGCACGCATGCATAGCATAAGGTATGCTGATTTAAACATGACTTATTACTAACCATCAAAGCAGGTAAGTAAAAGGGAAGAAAGAAGTGGGGATTGGAAGACATGCACACACATGCACCCACACTTATTACAAATTCGCCCTCGCTCAGAGGGACCAAATAAATATTACAAATAATTAACCTACAAGCTAATTAAATATTACAGATTACCTAATTAGTTAACAAACTAACTAAACTAGGGAAAACAGATAAACCGCCTCAGGATGAGAGCCTAATGCAATGCATGCTCGGTCCTGCTCGGAAGTACATGCCATGCACAAGCTGCCTCTGTTTTCCTTGCTATACTCTTCTGGAGACTTCCAAAGTCTTAGAATTGCTTCCCTGGACATTGGGAGACATCACCGGCCGAGTAGGGTTGCCACCGGCAGTGGTATGTGGTCATCGGCCATTGGTGAAGCTATCGGCAGAGGGAGGATTGCCGGTCGGCACTGGACACTGCCGGTCGGCAAAAAGCTCCTACAAAATCTGCAATTGACAGCAACAGAGGGCAAGGCAGAGCATGGCAATACAATTCCAGCAATGTATGCACCAATCATGTCCCTTATCATGTTAGTGACTCAAGGGGACATGCTTCTTGGTTCTCGGACCAACAATTGCGCATTTCAATGCGTGATGGCCCAAGGGACCAATTTATGCATGTTGATTTCAAAATGCAATGCAAACCAACAAACCAATGAGGAACTCAACCTCAATCATGGATGATCAAGAGGCAAAGCATTCATGCAATGCAACCTAAGCATGTTGACTAGGTATGCAACATGGATAATGCAAGCAAGCACACAAGACATGCAAGGCATGAGATGATGCAACCAACAAGTATGCAAGGCACAATGTGGGTATTTAAGCATGCAAACAAACATGTGACTTCATTCAATCATGCAAGTTCAATTATGCAACAACTCACCAATATGCTACAACATACAAGGAGTATATGCAACAAACAAAAGGATGGACTTAAACATGATTTGGGAAGCTCTACCTAGGCCCAAAACAGTGGCTAAAGTCAAGGAAATGAGGCCCAAAACACACGCACACATGTATGCAAATATGGTCCAATTCCTAAGGCCCATCAAAGAAGCATTGAACTACACTTAGTGCAACCACACATGGCATGAATTAAATGACTAAAAACAGAATTTTAGCATGTTAAGACAAGGCCTAAAGATCACTTAGATGGCATCCAAATGACCTAAATTCAAAGGCATGCACAAATACCAAAACATGGAGCATATAACACAAGCTCATAAGGCATCAAAGGGGCATCCAAGACAAGCATACAAGCATGTTAAAGGGACTGAAATGATGCTCTAAATGGTGCCAAACCAATAAAACAAAGCAAGTAAAGCATGGTACATACTCACACACTTAAGGCCAACAAGCCAAAATGCAAAGGGGGCATATAATGCATGGCAAATTCGACCCAAACAACTATGGACAGACCTCAAACATGGAAAAATAAGCATAAAAGCTTCACAAAGCTAAGCCTAAAACATGCTTTAACAATGGTTTACAACCTAAGGCGTGTTAAGGCCTAAACATGGCATTACAAGGTAGGTATGCTAAGCATGCATGGTGTACCAAAACCAATTAAAAATACAGGCATATTATGACATAATAAGCACAAAAAACAACTAAGGCATGGTCAACATGAAGCTTAGCTAGGTGCTCCCTCAAGAGGCCAAAAATGGTCCTTTTCAAGGACAACAAGGAGAGGGGGTGGCCCTCTCCTCCCTAGGACCTCAAGGCACCATTCTCACCTCTGAAATCCCTCAAGATTTCAGTGGTGAGGAGGCCCAAACACCAAGGTCCCGGAGTTCACTCAAAATAGCACAAAATGGAGCCTCTCAAGGCCTAAGAGGGGTCAAACACCTCCAAACCACAAAACACTCTAAACAAACTATTTAGAGGGCCTAAAAAAAGAACTTTTTTATGTTATACACTAAGCACAAAAACAGTTCTAAGATAGCCTAAAATACAATGCAAAAATGGGGAATAAAGGGACTAGTTTCTTACCCTTGAAGACCCTCTTCAAAATTGGTGGACCAGCTGCTCCTCCAAGCTCAAAACCACCCAAGAACACCAAGAACAACCTCTGCTTCTTCAAGAATCAAGCAAAGGTGTAACACTATGTGTTTGTGTGCAATAGTAAGACACAAACACACTTAAAGAGGGGAGGGCTCCTCTTATAGAAGAGCCAATCTTGTAAAGCTTACAAGGTAAGCTAACAAGAAGGCCATCCCTCCATACACGTGTATGGAGGGGAACAAAATGCCATACAGCTGTATTAAAATATCTGCAAAAGCAGATGAACAGTAGTCGGCTGCCCAAAAATGCCATTTTGACAAAATTGACTGCCGACCGGCAACAAAGAATGTCGACCGGCAATATATATTGCCGATGGCAACAAAACACCAGCCGGTGGCCTCTGGCCATGGCCGGTGATGTGTGGGGATGCCTCACAAGGCATTCCCTTCCCTTCCAAGGCAAAACAAAGGTGTTTGGTGCAAAACCAGACACTAAACGGTTGAGTTCGGAGATCCTGAGGAAAGGCGCGTAGCTGAGACCTCCGGGAACTTCAAACGAACACAAACATGGATGATCACCGGGTGTTCAAACGGTGACGTCCAAGTCTTGAGGACGGTCAAAAATGGGGTGTCTACAGTGTGATGTGGGCCACACATTATTTTTTCTGTGCATAGTTCTCTGACTTTTTCTGTTTGTGGAGCATTTTTGTCTTTTATATCTTATAATTTTTTCCCCTTACAATTGCATTTTTGTTTACAGAATATGGTATGGGATGTGAGATCTCGGCATATGGTGATATCTACAGTTTTCGCATCCTTGTGTTAGAAATGTTTACTGGGAAGAGACCCACCAATGAAATGTTTAAAGATGGGTTAAGCCTCCATAGCTTTGTGAAAGAGGCTTTGCCCTACAGTGTATCACAGATTTCAGACCCAACACTTTTTAAGATCGAAGGGGAAGAAGAAGAAATCTTCATAAGAGGTGAAAAGATTGTGGAGTGCATGAGTTTGATACTTGAAATTGGATTCATTTGTTCTTCAAAATTGCCTAGAGAAAGAATGGACATTAATGATGCTGCAGCTAAATTGCATTTCATCAAAGACACTCTTCTAGGATCTAAAATACATTGAAAGAGATGAATTATGAGGGAATCAATTTGAATATAACGCTTTTGTCTTAATAATCTCCCTCCTATGAGAGATTACATGTTTAATAACAGCCTTACTTCCACATTGGTTGAGCCAACTCTACATTTATACATTTAGTGAAAAGTAATGTTACTTATTCAAAGAAAGTGTTAGAATTTGAAATGTGTTGATCGGATTTATTTTGGGTGTGATTCTCATTACATCAAATTTAAATGTACATCACAAATTCAAATTTTATATATGTTCCTCACACGTGATTTTTTTTTTTCCCGTTCAAAATGTTAATAATACATGACGAAGGGATCACATTGTAACAAAATTCAAAGTATAGAGATAAAATTATTTAAATTAAAATTAGTAGAACCAAAATAAAATTTCGCTCAAAATAGAGGCATCAATTGTATAAATTACCCTTTTTTTAAACTACAATCCTATTTTGATTTACCCTTGAACACAAATCCCTAACCATGTATTGGTCCGGTGAAATCAATCTGTGAGTTCTTCATCTTCACTCTCTTTATTTGTTTATCAAATTTTAATAATGGAAGACTATAGTTGTTTTCTCTAATTTCTTTGCTATAATTTGTGAACCTTAATTTATTTAAGGATATAATTGTTTGGCCCTAATTATCAGTTAGGACCATAATTGTTCGAGTAACTTAGCACTGTTAATAATAGCTTTTCACTGTTTTGTTGCCCTCAGTTAGCCCTAATTATAGTTGTTGCCCTAATTTGTGTTGTGTTGTTCTGTCCTTGAATTCAATTTATTGTTATATATGCTTATATGTGTCAATGCAATAAATCAATTCTAATTCTATGCTTGATGCTATTTTTCATTGGTTTAGTGCTTCAATAGAAATCTCTAATCGTTGTTGTTCTCTAATTTATGAAAACATATTATTTGTAGATATCAGTCATTGTGAATTTGTGTGGATTTTTTATTATATAGCCATGCCTCCTAGGAAGTATATTTTCGGATATGAAAAAAGAAAAAAGAAAAAAGAAGCAAAAAGTAGAAAAATCTGTCCAATCTTAACTAGGAGCGCTTGCTAAATTTCTTGATAGCAAGAAACAAATAGAAGGGCCTCTTGAACCCCCTTAAAACTTAGGGCTGGCTCAAACTCTAGAACACTATTTTAAATACACCCGCATTTCATTTTTATGGGTTCAATAGTAGCTTTCGCTTTTTTCAAATATATATATACACACTTCTGTGAAACAAACTCTTCTAAAAGGTAAATAAACTCGAATCACACAAGTACATTACATTATCATTCACACATGGACTAAATAGAAAATAATCTGATAGTCAAATTATTTATACACTTTGTGAGACATAGATTCCCAGATTGAAGATAAAAGTACAAGCATAATCATCTTCCTTTTGGACAGAGTGTTTACCATTCATCACCACTTTGACAAGCATCAAGCTTCATTGTCCTGTAATTTGGTTACCAAAAAGCAAAAATATGGGCCTAAATATGAACTCATTCTAGATTGGTTTGGGGGTTAACATAATTCATGGAGTTCAAACACATAAAAGCATTATTAATTATTTAAATCACAATTAATCCAATTGAATCTTGTAGATTACCCACACAAGGGCATAATGGCCAATATTTTAATGCTAAACAAAGGGGGAAAAAATGTAATGAATTTATTACAAAATGACATGGCAAGGGTCATGTATTATCTTCGACTTGAAGGCTAGCAATGAAAGGCGATCTGTCTTGTTACCACCGAAGCTTCTAGCTGTAGTGGTTCTGGGAGCATTCCAACATGTAGCAATGTCATGACCACAAGACATAACTGGAGCAGCTGCGAATTCATTCCTGAAATTTGAAATGTTATTTTTCTAATTCTATTTTGTATGTAGAGTTAGCCTTAATTGGGTTGTGATTAAATAACCTAAAGATTCCACAATGGTAGGATTGTAATGCACGTGGATTAATTTGGCTACTTTTTCTCTTTCTCTTTTTCTCTCTCTCTTTTTTTTTATTTTTTATTTTTTCAATTTCACCAGTGTGGGAAAACAAAATAGAAAATGTGCATTGTTTCCATTGCTCAACTTGCCTGCATAACTTGCCCATGATGGACAGTCCTGGAATTGATAGTCCACCCTTTAGAATGTGTGATGAGTGATAATATCAACAATGATAGGTGGCCCGAAAAATCATGGCTCGAAACACCCAAAGCGACATCGGTTTGGGTGTAAAATGACGTCGTTTTGACACATTCGAGCCATTCGAGCCACAAAAATTCGGGTTACCAAACATTTTCCTGATAATATATTTTGTGGTTGCATAGAAGAAACTAATAATGCTTGCATCCATTACATGCAATATGACAATTGTTAAGGCTTCTGGTGCATTAATTGCATATACTAAGGGTTAAATACATTTTTTGTCTCCGAAGTGAGTTATTTGTTATTTTGGCATATTGAAACACTTTTTATACATTGGAGAGTAGATTGACATAATTTAAACATTGAGAGCCAAATTGAAATACTTTTATATGTTGGAAATTGAAATATTTTTGTTGGCATATTTCTTCTTTTTTTCCACACACTTAACACTCTTGATATACTAGCTATTTATAGATAAACTAGACAATGTAAAAGCATACAATAATACAGTGTGAAAGCCTACAATTCATGCAGCCATTTTTGACCATTTAAGAACCACGTGTTCAACATGGTGGCTGCAATCCACTTTCAACCATGGTGGCTGTCTACCTTCAAACATGGTAGCTGCCTACCATCAAGCTTTCTTTCAACATCCCCCCTTAAGCTTGATTCTCCATGCTGCTTCATCCCAAGCATTATCTTCATTCTGTTGAATAGATCATTTTTCAATGGCTTTGTGAAAATATCTGCAAGCTGATCTTGAGATTTGCAAGGAAATAATTCCACATCTTTATTTTTCACATGCTCTCGGATGAAATGATAGCGGGTGTCAATATGCTTACTTCTTTCATGGTAAACATGGTTCTTCGCCAATGCAATTGCTGAGTGATTATCAACAAAAATCTCAGTGGGTTTTTTTTGTGGAAATCCCAAATGCTTCAGCATGTTCCGTAACCATATTGCATGGCACACAGCTGAGTTGGCTGCAACATACTCAGCTTCGCAATTCAATAATGTCACAATGGCTTGCTTCTTGGATGACCATGTGAAGGTTGTATCTCCCATAAAGAAAGTAAATCCCGTAGTACTTTTCCGTTCATCCAAGTCACGTCCCCAGTCGTTATCTGAGTAGCCAACAAGACTGAAATTATCAGTTGGTTTATAGAATAAACCATCATCGACTGTACCTTTGATGTAGCGAAGAATCCTCTTTGCTGCATAAAGGTGTGACTGATCCGGTGTTTCCATATATTTGCTGATCAGTCCTACTCTATAAATTATGTCTGGCCTGGTGCAAGTAAGATAGCGAAGACTTCTAACTAGACTGTTGAAATAAGTTGGATCCACATCACCTGCCTTCGTACCTTTTCTGAGCTCCACTCCACTATCTACATGAGTGTTCACTGGATTGCAATTCTCCATTCCATATCTCTTGAGAATTTCCTTGGCATAGCCACTTTGGGAAATAAAAATTCCATCATTTCTTTGTACTGCTTCAATGCCACGAAAATGAGCCATCAATCCAATATCTGTCATTTCAAATTCTTGGACCATGCTTCTTTTAAAGTCTTTGAACATGGATGGATTGTTTCCGGTGAAGATCAGATCATCAACATAAAGACAAGCAAGCAACATGCTTCCATCAGCCTCCTTCTTCAAATATAGTGCGTGCTCATATGGATATTTTTCAAAACCATTGTCATGAAAATACTGATCAATTCTAGTATTCCATGCACGCGGAGCTTGCTTCAATCCATAAAGTGTTTTCTTCAATTTGTACACTTTGTCTTCATGCCCATTCTAAACATACCCCGAAGGTTGTTCAATATAGATTTGTTCTTCAAGGAAACCATTAAGAAATGCAGATTTCACATCAAGTTGATAAATCTGCCACTTGTGTTGGGCAGGCAGCCAAAGAAATCATTAGCCTGATAATCTCCAATCAGGCAGCTGGAGCAAACATCTCTCCATAGTCAATTCCAGTTCTCTGCTTGTAACATTTTCCTACTAACCTTGCCTTGTAGCGTTGCACTTCGCCTTGTGCATTCCTCTTTGTCTTGTATACCCATTTCACTCCAATGGGTTTGTGCCCCTCCGGCAGACTAGTAAGCTTCCATGTGCCATTTTTCTCAATGGCATGCTTTCTTTCATTTATCTTCTTGGATGGCTTCTGAGAAGGTAAGTGGATCACTCTGTGCAAGTAGGCAGAACAAATTCAGATCTACCTCTTCTGTAGCTTCATATATCTCCTGCAAATTTCTCATTGGTCTTGGTTGTTTGAAAAAACTATCATCTGATGATGCTGATGATGATGATGATGATGCAGCACTTCTGTGAGAAACTGGCGATCTAGATACATGAATTCTATGTGGAGGAGTTTGTGGCTCATCTTGAACTTCTCTTATGATTTCAACTGGAGTTTTGATGTTTCATCTTCAAGAATGAGTTCTGCATCTTTAACAACTTCATCTTAATTCCAGTTCCAAGCTTCTTTTTCTTCAAATATCACATCTCTACTCATGATCACCTTTCTGGTAATGGGATTATACAACTTGTATCCCATTGTTCTATCTCCATATCCGACAAGGATACATTTTTCTCCCTTATCATCGAGCTTGGTTCTTCTTGCTTCTGAAATCTTGGTGTACGCAACACACCCAAATATTCTGAGATGGTTGACACTTGGCTTATGTGAACTCCAAGCTTCTTCTGGAGTCATAGAATGAAGGCTCTTGGTTGGGCATCTATTTAGTAGATACACAGCACATGATATGACTTCAGCCCAAAATTGCTTGGGCAATTCCTTTCCTTTCAACATGCTCCTTGCCATATCTAAGATTGTGCGATTCTTCCTTTCAACAACACTATTCAGCTGTGGCGTATAGGATGGTGTTGTTTGATGCTTGATTCCATGCTCTTTACAAAACTTCTCGAAAGCATCTTATGTATATTCTCCACCTTGATCTGATCGCAATGTCTTGATGTAGTAGATGCTTTGCTTCTCTACAAAAGCTTTGAATTCTTTGAAGATACAGAACACCTCTGACTTTCTTTTCAGAAAGTACACCCATGTCTTCCGGCTATAATCATTAATGAAGGTGAGAAAATATCTATTATGTCCACTTGACATTGGCATCAATGGACCACACACATCAGTGTGCACTAGCTCCAGCGGCTTTGTTGCTCTCCACTTCACTTCTTTGGCAAAGCTAGTTCTGTGATGCTTGCCAAGAATGCAGCTTTCACCATGATTGTCTTTGATGGTAAGATGGCAATCTTTCATGCTGATGTCGTATCGTTTCTCTAGGGGTTGTCCCATACTCAAAATGTTGTTCTTCATGGCAGGAACATAATAAACATTGGAGATGTAATCATGATCTCCATTCTTGAGCTTGATCAGAATATTACCTCTTCCTTTCACTGGAGTCTTTGAAGAATCACCAAATCAGACTTGTGCTTGTATAGTCTCGTCAAGCTCAACGAACAGCTCTCTTTTACCACACATGTGATTGCTGGCTCCCGAATCTAGATACCAAACATTGTTTTGGTTTTTAGTGTCTCCACGGTGAACAAATAGGACTGTAGGTCCAACTTTGTTTGTTTCCTGCTCGGCAAAATTTGCTTGCTCTCCGGCTTCTGTTGTTGCTCTACTTCGGCATTCATTGCTGTAATGCCGGAACTTGTGGCACTGGTAACATTGAACATTGCTTTTTTCAAAGCCTGGTTGGTTGTTGTAACCACCTCCTCTACCTCTTGCTTTTCCTCTTGGAGCAAAGTGTGGTTGGTTTCTTCCTTCTCTGGCTGGACCTCTTCCGCCTCTTCCTCGAAAACCAGAACTTCGGTTATTGTAACCACGGCCTCTTCCTCGGCTTCTTTCTGATGTCCCCCTTTGCTCGTTTCTGTCATCTCTGAAAGACAACTTTGTTTGAAGGGCTTGCTCTAGAGTACTTGAGGGAGTCTTCTTGTTGATCCTTTGTTCATGAATCTCAAGTGTGCCCATCAACTCATCGGTGGTCATGGTACTGAGATCCTTGGACTCTTCTATTGCTACAACCACATGCTCGAACTTGGGACTGTGTGATCGGAGAATCTTCTCTATCACTTGAAGAAATTCCATCTTCTCTCCATATCTTCTCATCTGATTAACAATGGTCAATGTTCTGTTAAAGTACTCAAAAATTGACTTATTCTCATTCATGTGCAGCATCTCAAACTCGCCACGTAACACCTGGAGTCGAACTCTGATCGTCTTCTCAATTCCACGGTGTGAATTGCGAAGAATACTCCATGCCTCTTCAAAGGTTGTTGCTGCTGAAATCTTCTCAAAACTTGGCTCATCAATGCCTTGATGGAGTAGATACAAGGCCTTTTTATATTTCCTCCTTGAATCTTTTAACGTCGTCTTCTGAGCATCATTTAAATTTCATTCATCTGCGAGAGTAGCTGGCTCGTCATATCCTCGATCCACTAACTCCCACAAATCTGGTTAGGCTAGTAAGACTTGCATTTGAATACTCCAATTTTCATAGTTCTCCTTGCTGAGTTTTGGAAACTGGGGCTGAAAGAAGTTGTTTGTGTTGGCCATTGGTTGTCTTTAAAAATCTGTGAATTTTTAGAAGGGAATTTGCAAATTCTAATCGTACAGATGTGTCCGGAATATTCCAAATAGTTGGAAAGCACTATTGGATCACAAGAAACAGACTCCGAATGGCTCAGATCAAGCCAAAACAAGTTGAACGGTTCAGATCTGCGGCGCACCTTAGCCGCGGCACACTCGATTAATCCTCCGTGCGCTGATGTCAGCGGCTCAGTCAACGGCTCAGTCAATACGGCTTGGCTCGGTCAGCGGCTCCAGTCAACGGCTTGGAGGCTCGGCTTAACGGCGGCTCGGCCCGGTCAACGACGGTCAGTGGCTCGATGACGTCAGTGGATGACGTCGGCTCTGGTATGCGCACGTGTGGCGCGTTGAATGACGCGTTTTCTTCCTCTGGAAGCGTGTGGGGTGCGTGTTGCGCGTGGGGCGCGTGAGAACGGCGTCAGGAGGCGCATGGGGAGCATGCGGGGCCATCCAATCTGTGTTTTTGACGCGGTTTTCACGGTTGTGCTCGTCTTGTCGGGAGCTTCAATCTGGTATGATCAAAAATTGATTTCGACCACTTTGATTTCTGGGCAATTTTCAAAAACACACTCTATTTGTTGAAAATTTTGCAGAATGTCTGCACATTCAAGCTACCTTCGGCTCTGATACCACTGTTGGTGGGAGTGGGGTGCAAACCACTGTTGGTGATTCATAATGAGAGGCTTAAAAACACTGAACCAAACTGAAATTTAATTCACTCACAGATAATTCTGAAAAATTACACACAACACTCTCTTCTTCTTTTCTCCCACACACTTAACACTCTTGATATACTAGCTATTTGTAGATAAACTAGACAATGTAAAAGCATACAATAATACAGTGTGAAAGCCTACAATTCACGCAGCCATTTTTGACCATTTCAGAACCATGTGTTCAACATGGTGGCTACCATCCACTTTCAACCATGGTGGCTGCCTACCTTCAAACATGGTAGCTGCCCACCATCAAGCTTACTTTCAACAATTAAGTCCTAGATGCTGACAATAAATTTAGTTCCCAAGTGTAGTTCCTGTGTAATGCATTTATGCTAGTGCTTTGGTGGTAATTGTGACTTGGCCTCTTTCCAACTCCTATTGTTTTGTATTTTCTTAGCTATTCAATGAAGTCTATTGACCTCTATGGGGGTATATGTGGAGTCCAATATAAGCAATCTAAGTCTATTGAAATGATTATGCTATGTAGAATGTTGAGTCTCTGGACCTCATTTTGTTGATTATTCGTTTTTAGACTAGAATGATTATTCGTTCAAAGAATGATTCTTTTAGCAATGAAACTGTTTTTCTTCTTGAACCAACAAATTACGAAGAATGAAGCCAAGGTTACTCCAACAAGTGTAGAAGCTACTACAATTGCCAATATATGTGATAGGGGCATTTTAAGTTTTGGTTTCTTGGTGGTGCAGTTGGGTAGTTGTAATTTAGAAATACTGCCACAATGCCTATAATTGATATTGCACTCGCATTTGAGAAAACTCCCTTCATTGGTAACTAACCCTTAAAATCATACAAATTGAGTTCTTTTATGGAAAAGGGTGGGGCTCTGTGTGGGATATGGTACACTATTGTAAGTGTTTCGTGATCTATTATGTGATTTGTTTTTGTGTATGAGCATCTACACAGCTGTAGTCCTCCCATGCCCTTACAAAGGCTACTAATAGAGGGAGAGAGATCAAAGCACTTTGGGTGGGGTCATTAAACTTTTTGGGTATAAAGTTCACATATTTGGGCCAATCAAGTTTTGTGTATTGTTCACACACTAAAAAGCGTGTGTAACAAATTCATTTTTGCCAAAAATGTCCTCATAATTATATATTCCATATGAGCTCTCACAACATTTTTTTTGCTCAATTGTTTTTCTTCTACTTATTGTTACCATTGTCAAGCTTGAAATTTTAAACAATCTGTAGCTTGATCTCCACTGGTATTACTTATTAGTTACAGGATTTGACGAACCAATGGAATAAGTAAATAATTGATCAGCCCTTACAGTTAAAAAGTCAGTCATTTAAACTAGACCTTGTATGAAAGGCATGGAAATCAAATATCTAACTCCAACACAAACTATTGTGTTATTAATTCCTTTAATACTCATAAAGTTCATTTATTATTAATGATTATTTATCCCGTTTCCCTTATTTATGACAAAGTGTTGCATGGTATTATTCTACACCCTTTTATGCATTAGTTACTAATTCCTTTGAAAAATATCATCGGATAGAAATATTAAAAGGCACACAAAATCAAACCACACATGGACATTACATTATCATTCTCATATGGACTAAATGGGAAATAATCTGGGAGTCAAATTATTTATACAATTTTGTGACATATAGGGTCCCAGTTTGAAGATAAAAGTACAATCATAATCCTCTCCCTTTTTGAATGAGTGTTCCACGCCATTTCTCACTGTTTTGATAAGCATCAAGCTTCATATTGTCTTGTAAAAATGAGATTTCAAGGGCATAAATATAAACTCATTCTAGATTAGTTTCGGGCACTAACAAAATTCACCTAGTTCAAGCACAAAAATTCATTATGATAATTTAAAATCACTATTAATATAATAAGGTGGTCAACTTTTTTTGTGCAAAAAATTAACACTGTATGACATGACAAGTGTTGATTTTATTACTTTGTTACTTTGTATAGTATCTTTTTTTATACAAAATGCGGCCAATAAGATTGTTCATTTATAAGCACACACTTTGTTCCTCCTTGATGCATTTTTCATTTATTTATTTTTTTAAGCATGTTCATTAGTGCAAACCAGTGCAATATACATGCATTTTGCCTCAGGATTCAAGACTTAGAATGGTGGCTTTTATTTAATCACCAGCATGTCTTTAGATGCCACATCTAGCTAGAAACCTAATATGTAAACCTCTATAAATTAATATATGTACATTTATTTATTGTCTTAACTATATGGCATTCAGATTATGCACCATGCCATGAGTCAAAGGTTCATTCTGAAACTTCTGTACCATGAAATCTGTAGGAGCAAATTAAGCTTTAGTCAATGCAGCTCGTGGAGAACATTCCTTATATTCATTTGATCTTGTAGTGACTCCATCGAGCATGCCACTCCAATATTAACCATTATAATCACCGCTTCTCCATTGTGCTTGCATTTCTTATTTGTCTTGCCTTCAGATTCGTTAGGGCTTATTCTTTTTCTTTATTGTTACTTAGAAGTATCGGGTCCACAATTTCAATAACATGGTCAGGCAAGGCCATCTTAGCAAAGTTGTGAAGGTTAAGGTCTCCTGCAAATATACCGTCAGTTGGTCCTTACTGTCGTCATCTCCAATAACAAGATCCCATAACTATAGATATCACCATTTGGGGACATCTCACCGCCTAGAGCATACTCTGCAATGAAATTTTATGTTAACAAAAGATAAGTATCTTTTGCCTAGAAAAAGGACACAGTGATAAGATTCTGAAAGAATAAAGAAATTAATATATTAGGATAAATGTCCAAAGCATTTTAGGGAAAACATTAGACATAATTAAAATATGAACATTGGAAAAGTTAGCATTAGTTTTGATAAAAAAAAAGTTATCCGGAGCTGCTTATCCAATAGTTCCCCTTACTCCAATAGAATTGTTATGGTTTGGATTACTGAGCTTGGTGTGAAACCTAGCTAAACCAAAATCACCAACATGGGTTGTCATGTCATGGTCAAGAAGAACATTTCTTGGCTTCAGATCACAATGAATGATCAGTGTTTGACAGTGGTGATGAAGATAATCAAGTGCACACGCCACATCTATAGTAATGTTTATTCTTTGAAGAAGGTTGAGTCTTTGTTGCTTCTCTTCTCTATTATCTGTTTCTAGACTTGAATGCAGCCACTTCTTGAGACTCCCATTTGGCATGAACTCATACACTAGAGCTTTAAAATCATTACCTTGAAAATCAATAGTTGAGCAAGCAGTTATGATCTTTATGAGCTTCCTATGTCGAATATTTCTTAAGGTTTCACACTCTGCCAAGAAACTCTTTGAGGCTCCTCGAGATTTTAGGTTAAATACTTTGACAGCGACAATTGATCCATCTTGATCAAGGATTCCCTTGTACACAGAAGCAAAACCACCCACACCAATCAAATTTTCTGAAGAAAACCCTTCAGTTGCTTTAAGGAGTATTTTGTAAGAACCTTTCATGAATGACCTCAATAATGATCCGTAGGACCAACTTTCCTTTTCCTCTTAAACCAGCAGAGCAGAAATGCTAACATAATTATTACTCCAACAAGCATACATGCTTTAGAGATAATTAATATGACTGCAATGGACATTTTTTTGATTCTTTGATCTTTGGATGGTGTATTTTGGTAGCTGTAGTGCAGAAATGCCCCCACAAAACCTATTATTCCCAGAAATTGATATTGCACTTGCATTTGAGAAAATTCCTGTGCTTGGAACCTCACTCTCAAAATTATTAGATGATAAATTTAAATACATGAGGGGAATCTGCTCCAAGAATTTGGGAATATGTCCTCATAAGTTGTTATGAGAAAGATCGAAATATTGCATACCTCTTAAGGAGCTCAATGATGAAGGAATAGACTCTTGAAGCAAGTTACCCTCCAAGGATAGGTTTTGATGACTAGTGCAGCTCCCAAGGGTACTTGGAACGTCACCAGACAATTTATTCTCAGAGATATCCAGTTCGGCCAAATTCTTTTGGTTGCCAACCTCTGAAGGGAGGGATCCGAACAAACTATTCCGACCTAGATTTAGTGAAATTGAGAGAGGAAATACTGAAAAGTTGTTTAGGTATGGTACCGCTAAAGTTATTCTGAGATAGGTTTAGTAATATTAAACTCTTGTAATTTCCAATGTTTGATGGTATGATTCCCTGTAATCTATTATTATCCAAGTGAAGTTCATTCAACAGTGACAGGTTTCCTACAGAATTAGGAATTTCTCCTGATAGTTGATTAGAACTAAGCAGCAGTCTTTGGAGCTTTTAAAAATTACCAGCAGTGGTGGGAAGTGTGCTAGTGAGTTATTTATCATGTAGAGCTAAGTATGTTAAATTGACAAGATTACCGATTATTGATGGGATGACTCCGTACGTGCTAAATAATCGAGTTTAGTTGAAAGATTGCCCACATGATCTGGTAACACTCCCCTCAATTTGTTACCAAACAGATCCAATACTTCCAAATTACTACAATTGGCTAGAGAGCCAAAAAAATCCATTTCATCAGGCTCTCCGTTTCCAAAATTGTTGGAATCTAGATTTATGCACCACTTATGTGTTAGGCGTCCAAAATCAATTGATATTTTCCCATTGAAATAGTTAATTCCTATGTCAATGTATTCCAATTCTGACGCATTGGATAGTGAGAGTGGGAGGGGCCCAGTCAATTGGTTGTCATATAACTGAATTGCTTGAAGCTGAGGAAGCATCTGGCGAGGATTGGAGGAAAATTGCCTCGAATTTGATTTATAGTCAAAGAGAAAACAGTAAGAAAGGATAGGTTATAAGTGGAGGTAGGGATCATACCAGATAGGTTTTTCTCACCCAATGCAAAATAACTAATGTTTCTCAGGTGACCCAATTCATCTGGGATACTTCTATTGAAAGCATTTTGAGCTGCAGATATAACCTCCAAAGCTGTCAGGTTCATGAGGAAAGAAGGGATCCCTCCTGTTAAATTGTTCTTTTGAATAACGAGATGCTTGAGCTTTGACGGGAAATTGAACTCCCGGGGAACTTTGCCTACAAGGTTGTTGTTAGCCAAACCAAGGAACGTCAGGCTAGAGCAGTGAGAGAGGTTGGCTAGAATTTCTCCTTCCAGGGAGTTATTGTTCTGGTTTAAAGTTTGCAGACTGGACAGGAGGCTAAGTTCTGTTGAAGATTGGCTCAGATTTGCTTTGTTTGCTTTGTCAACGATGGTTGCTAATTGAAGAAAAAAAAATGAAGAAGCTAGACATTCAGTCGAGCTATCCATGATAGGGTGGCTCTGTTGGTGGTTGCCATGAATGTTGTCGGTGGCTTGTTGAAGACTTTGGCCCTCCCATTGCATCTATAAATGGTTAGTGAATGGAAGGGGTTCAGTGCGGTGAGTTGAAGAGAGAATACAGAGCAAATAGAGAGAATTATAGAGTGAGTAATTCTTTGTTCCAAATTTAGTGAATTCGGTTTCCCGTGGATGTAGGTGATTTGCCAAACCACGTAAATCTTTGTTTGTTCTTACTTGTGTGCTTGTGTGTGATTGTTTTCTGCCTCCTAGGCACAACAAATTGGTATCAAAGCGTTGTTGTGCGAAAAATAGAGCATTTTTTCTGTAAACTAAAAATTTCGAAGTTGTCAAAATCGAGTTTTCAGTCTCCCAGGACAACTGCCTCGATGAGAGGAGTTCAGATCCAAAAAGACCAACCCACGAAGACACTTCACGCGCCATCATGCGCTTGCTGGATTTCTGCTGGGGACTTGTCGGAAAGTTCTATCCAGGAAAGAAACAAAGGTTGAAGAAGTCAACCTGTCCTAAAGGCTTTAAGTATTCACTTGTGCACCAACATGGCACAAGTTAACACTTGGTAGAGTGGTTAGAGCCTTGCTTCAAACCCTTTAGGTCAAGGGTTCAAAACTCGTCACAAATAAATTTCCAAATTATTTTTGGAAGCTGCCACAATAGCGCCAGGTGCCAGCCCAGTCACTGCCACGTTTGACCCATGTGGCTGCCAAATCATTACTACATGTTGAACCATGTCATCAACAGCTCACCCACCATGTCATCAACATAACAGCACATCTGCCACGTCATCATTCTAGTTAGCCATTTTTTTGAAATTGTAGGGTGGCCCCTGAAATTTTAGTAAATTTTATTTCAGCCCCTGATGTTGTTAAAATTTCAATTTGGACCCTGAAACTTCTATTAATTGCAGTAAGGTCCCTAGAGTTTTGGAAAATTACAATTTGGCCCTTGGATTTGAAGAAATTTCATTGAAGTCCCTAGAGAGGTGGAGAAAGTGCTTTCCTAGCTAAATCAACCGTTCCGGACACAACCGCAGATTTCATTTTTTGAGATTCAGACACGATTTTAAGTGAAATTTTTGGGAGCTTAGAATTTGCAGTGTTCTGGGCATTTAAAGTGTCTGTTATTGTTTGTAGTGGAGATTATTTAATAGTCTCAATGTCAGAACCTACAGAGACAAGATCAACCGAGTCCACAAGTAACCCAACGACTACAAGCAACTCTAGGCATTGGACCCTGGTGTCCTATGCTAAGTTTGAGGTAGAAAAGTTTGATGGAAGCAACAACTTCGGCATGTGGAGATGCAAAGTTAAAGATATGCTTGTCCAGATGACTTCGATGAAATAGAATGAGAGAAAGTGAATCTCCTGGCCTGCAGTTCCATCTGACTTTGCCTTGCAAAAGAGGAGAAGTACGCCTTCACAGAATATGATACTGCAAAGGAGCTTTGGAAGGCGCTGGAAGACAAGTTCATGACAAAGAGCATTGACAACTGGCTCAACTTGAAGAAGAGGTTGTTTTGTTTCAACTACAAGAAAGGTATTTCGATGAACGAACACCTGAACAATTTCAACAAAATTCTTGCCGATTCGAAAAACCTGGATATTCAAATAAATGATGAAGATAAAGCACTGTTATTATTAAATTCCTTGCCTGACGCATATGACCATCTCACCACTATTTTACTATACGGTAAAGAAAAGATCAAGTATGTTGATGTTTCAAACGCCTTGGTAAATAATGAGTTCAGAAGGAAAGATAAATCTTCAAACAGGAACTCAGCATCAGAGGCATTAATAGTCAGAGGCAGAACGAATAATATAAGCTATACAAGGCGAGAAAAGTCTTGCTCAAAATCCAGAAGGAGATCATCAGATGGAAGATGTCTTGCAAAAGACGAGTGTGCTGCTTGTCACCAGAAGGGGCATTGGGCAAAAGATTGTACCAATAGAAAGATGAAAAGGTGAACGTTGCACGAGATGGAGATAATGGTGATGGATCAGCCTTCACAGTTTCATCACTTGGCCATTCTGATGAATGGATTCTAGATTCTGAATGTTCCTACCATATGTGTCCTAACAAGCAGTGGTTCTTGAGCTTACGAGAGTTTGATGGAGAAGTTGTACTGATGGGCAACGGCCAAGCTTGCCAGACAAGGGGGATTGGAACAATTCGACTGAAGATTCATGATGGAACAATTAGAATTCTCGAAGATGTTTGGTATATACCAGATTTGACGAAGAATCTCATCTCAGTGGGAGTTTTAAACTCCAAAGGTTATAGAGTAACTATGGAAGGTGGAGTCCTCAAAGTTGTCCGAGGAGCATTTGTTACAATGAAGGGTACTTGATAGGGAAATTTATATTTCCTAGACGGCTCTACAGTCACAGGGAGAGTGGTTGTCTCCACCAGCTCAGAGGATGATACATCAGACACTTCCAGACTTTGGAGAAAAGGCTTTACAAAGATTGATAAAGCAAGGCCTGTTGAAAGGCTCCAAAATAGGGAAGCTTGAGTTCTGCGAGCATTGTGTACTGGGCAAGAAAATAATAATCAAGTTTGGTACTGATATTCATCGTACCAAAGGGATTTTGGACTACGTTCGCGCAGATGTTTAGGGACCTTCCAAGAATGCTTCTTTGGGAGGTAAACACTACTTTGTGTCGTTCATTGATGATTTCTCAAGAAGAGTATGGGTTTGCACAATGAAGCATAAAGATGAAGTATTAGACATCTTTCTTATGTGGAAGAAAATGATTGAGACCCAGATAGGCAGAAAGATCAAGAAGCTCAGATTTGACAATGGTGGGGAATACACATCAGATCCTTTCTTTGAGGTTTGCTGGAATGAAGGGATAGTCAAACATTTCACAGTTAGTGGAACGCCACAGCAAAATGGAGTTGTAGAACGCATGAACCACACTTTGGTGGAGAAATATCAGTGTATGCTGTCACATTTAGGATTGAACAAGGCATTTTGGGGTGAGGCATTGAACTATGCTCTTCATCTTGTCAATAGACTACCTGCTGCAGCGCTAGATTTCAAGACTCCCATGGAGGTATAGTCAGGAGTGCCAGCTACTGATTATGATCAGCTACGTGTCTTTGGATGTCTAGCATATTTTCATGTTACGAAATCTAAGTTGGATCCTAGAGCCAAGAAAGCTATCTTCTTGGGATTTAGTGACGGTGTCAAGGGATATAGACTCTGGTTCCTTGAATCAAAGAAAGTTGTCACTAGAAGAGACATTACCTTTGATGAGTCTACAATGTTGAAGAAACCAAATCCTCAAGAGAATGGGGAAGCATTGAAAAAGTCAGTGCACCTGGAGTTTGAGACTCTAGCAAAGACTATTCAGCTAGTCAACCATCCTGAAAAAGTCTCAGTTGATAGCTCTGAAGAAGATCCTGAAGAGAGTTCAGATGAGAATGAAGGTCCAGAGGCCCCACAATAGTCAGAACCCATTGCAATCAGAAAAGGAAAAATGGTTACTAAGCAACCCGGTTGGATGACCGATATGGTGGCCTATGCACTTCCAATCATTAAAGACAATGTTCCTTGTACTTTTAAAGAAACCGTGCAGAATGCAAAAAGTGTCAAGTGAAAGGAGGCTATGGACGAACAGATCAGGTCACTTCACAAGAACCAGACTCAGGAGTTGGTGCAACTTTCAAAGGGCAAAAAAGCAATTGGGTGTAAGTGGGTTTACACCAAGAAAGAAGGCATCCCAAGCAAAGACAACATCAGATTCAAAGCTAGATTGGTAGCTAAAGGCTATGCCCAGAAGGAAGGAATAGACTACAATGAGGTATCCTCATCTGTTGTGAAGCACACCTCTATTCGTATCTTGCTAGCTTTGGTTGCACAGTTTGATCTCAAGCTCGCCCAACTCGATTTCAAAACTACCTTCTTACATGGAGATCTTGAAGAGGAGATATACATGTTCCAGCTAGATGGTTTCAAAGTTGCTAGAAAAGAGAATTGGACATGTAAGCTGAACAAATCGTTGTGCGGGTCGAAGCAATCCCCAAGACAGTGGTACAAGCGATTTGATCAGTTTATGATGGACAAGAAATACACAAGAAGCCAATATGATCATTGTGTATATCTTCGTAAGCTTTCCGATGGTTCCTTCATCTATTTGCTCTTATATGTCGATGATATGCTAATTGCATCTAAGAGCAAGTTAGAGATTGACAAACTCAAGGCACAATCGGCAGGAGAGTTTGAAATGAAGGATCTTGGCGAAGCAAAGAAAATTCTTGGCATGGAGATCAAAAGCGACAGGAAGAAGGGCATGGTTTGTCTGACATAAACCCAGTATCTGAAAAAGGAGTTAGACAGATTTGGCATAAATGGGAAAACAAAAGCTGTGAGTACACCATTGGCTCCTCATTTCAAGCTTAGTGCTTCGATGTCTCCACGCACAAAAGAAGAACGAGAGCATATGGCACAGGTTCTATATGCAAATGCAGTTGGTGCATTAATGTATGTTATGGTTTGTACAAGGCCTGACATCTCACATGCTGTGAGTATGGTAAGCAGATATATGCATGATCTAGGAAAAGGTCATTGGTAGGCAGTGAAGTAGATCTTGAGGTATTTACATGCAACAGTTAATATGGGTTTGAAGTTCGAGAGAGATCATATACTTGGACAAAATCGGGTTGGATATGTGGACTCAGATTATGCTGGTGAGTTGGACAAACGCCGGTCAACAACAGGGTATTTATTTACGCTTGCTAAAGGGCTGGTGAGTTGGAGGTCAACGCTTCAGTCAATGGTGGCTTTGTCTACTACACAGGTAGAGTACATGGCAGTGACAGAAGCCTTTAAGGAAGCTATTTGGCTACAATGGTTGATTGAGGACTTGGGAATTGTTTAGAATCATGTTGAGGTGTACTGTGACAGTCAGAGTGCCATTTTTTTGGAAAAGAACCAAGTTAATCATTCCCGCACCAAGCACATTGAT